CCGGGGCAGTAGAGCCATGGCTTGGTTGGGCCGCAGTGGCAGTGAGGCGATGCTGAACTGAATGGTGGCTGGGACCCGCTTGATCTGATGTTAGATTCGCAACGGAAGGGGGGGGGGGCTGGTTTAGTGGAAGCGGTGCTAGGTTCGGGACCATACGATTAGCCGATTATTGCGGTGTCGACCAGGTTGGTTCCTCGTGGAAGCCTGATGTCGGATCTGGATAAAGGCCGCTCGCTTGGGACATCTACTATCGCTGCCCAGATGGTTGGAATCACAGTTCACACACTTCGGTTCAGCTTCTTCTTCCTTCTTGCAGGCGGTAGAATTGTGAGAGCCGGCACATTTGCCACAACGAGCCTTCATGTGACAATTTTTCGTATCGTGCCCAAATGCCAGACAATTAGTGCACTGTGTCACATCACGGTGCCGAGGGCGATACTGCTCTCACTGAATCACCACACTGGTGGAGTCCTTATCGAAGTGCACCAGGTACAACTGGTCCCGGAATGCACTGGTTTCATCACGTCTCGCAATGGGAAAAAAAATGTTGATTGGTTGCAGATGAAGTTGCTCTAATTCCGCTTTAATCTCCGCAACAGGGAGATTTGGAAGACCACGGATCCCCATTTTCAGTGGTTTTCGTCCAGGGACGTCGTGAGTGTAGAACTCAAACCGGTTCAGCTGAAGAAAAGTGAAAACAGCGTTTTAGTCCGCCAGCTTCGAGCACAAGATTTTGATCCTCGTGCTGCACAGCTTGAACAGCGGATGGATTTGATTTTTAACCAGCTCATTCCTGAGCAACGCGAGTTCCTTCGTTGAGGTGGACAGTGTGGGCACTTTTTTCGGTTTCTCAACTGGATCTATATCTGCTTCTTCGAGGAGTGCCGAGAACGGATTACTCTGAAGCAACCTTTCCGTGTGGTTACTGGCACCAGCTTTCTTGCGAGGCCTTTTCGGGGCATCTTGAACGGATGCGGTTGCATCCAAACTTTGGCGACCCATCACCATTTGTTTTTTTCAACGGGTGAGTGGAGGAATTCAATTGTTGCTCCACTACCGCCGATTTACCGACTGCCAAAAGAGAGGCGAGAACTGACGACACGTTGCTAGCCAAACCGAAAACTCGCGACGGATACCACAACCAAACGACCGACTTAAAAGACCGAACAACTCGAGAGAGCGAGCGAAAAGAAAATTGGACTGTACAGCTTGATGGTCAAGCAGAGAATGGTGTCTGCGACAGGTTGGAAAACCGCAGAATATCCGAGTCCATCCAGCTAAAGCTCCTCTCCTTTTTAGTTTTTTATGGTTGAACTCCTTCTCTCAACAAGTTGGAAAATCTTAGTTTTTAAGCAGAAAGACGCTTTACACTTTTTTCGGTTTATTTATGATCCTGTTTCACGTCAGGGTTCTTCGCTATGCCTGTTCAGATAAATTAGAACTTTTATTTATTTTCTCTACTGCGCTAAATCAAATGATTGAAAATTCGATAAATATTTACTCGAATAGCTGTAAAAATCTTTCCGATTAATCGTTAATCGAATACTTGAACTTTTAGGCATCCCTAGAAAATTATTGTAATTTCATGTTTTTTTGGTGGTCCTTCGAAAATGTCGAACAGCAGAATTGCAACCAGCAAGTGTAACTTAAGAGCCCATAGTAGTGCGATGCTAGTTTTTATTGCTATGACGACGACTGAATAAAGAGGCTTAGAAGCGGAGGGGTGAAAGTCAACTCTCTTCATCGATTTCCTCTTTTGATGACCATGGCCATGTATATTGTGTGGCAAGCACAATGATACTCTATTCGTTTACTAACGACTCTCTGATGACAGTGTTTGTGAATCAGCATATACATGTACATAACTGGTGGATTTGTTAGTTATGTCGACGCTTTTGGACAATGCTTGACATTTACCACTTTTTCAATAGTTTTTTGTTGAAAATCAACAGTCAATGCGTATAAATATTTCTGATCCATTGCTGATAAAGTTGTTGAAATTGATCCAGGGGCAGCTGAGTTATTAACGTTCAAAATCTTTCATAATTTCGTTACATGTTGCATTTCTAGTTTTCACAAAGTATATCCCTATATAGAATTCACAGACGTAGTCCTACGTCAAAAAGCAGACAAAATCGGCAGTGGACAACATTTGGGAATGCACTGTATTTGTTACTGAATCTTGGTCGATGAAAATAATTGTTATCAGGTTTGATGTACTAAGTGCTCAACTGTGCCTCGAATAAAATAGTCTAGTTACGAGAGACATCCTTCTTTGTGAGTAGTAGTTCTGCAAAATCTTGGCCATATACGGCGATTTAGGCAAAAAACTTTGGTCATACATTTGAGCTAGCAATCATCTTAAGGGGGTAGTACACTTTGAACGTCCAAAAAGTAAGGCATTTTCGTTAATTTTTTAAGCAATAAAACACTCAGGGAGGGCGAATATGTTATAACCCATTTATAATTCATCCTTCGAACTACAATTTGTATTTTTTTGAACTCGATTGGCGTCTCCCCGTGGCCGGTGCACCAGGTCGCGCGGGCGTCCTCGCGCGGAAGTCGGAAACGGCGTGGGAAAATACTCCTTTCCATGTGATCCTGGAACATAAATCGAACAAAAATCCTGATTAGTAATGAAATTTGGGTTAGAAATACGTATTCCGATTTTTTTTTAATTAATTTTTTTTAAAAGTTATGGCCTTAGGAAAAAAACGTTCATTTTTTCACCCTAGAAATGCGTGGATTAAAAATCCATTTTTGACTAAATCGAAAATGTGGATACGTATTTCTAAGCAGAATTTAATTTTGAACAAGAAGACCTAGGCGATATCCAATTTTGATGATAACTGGTTAGAGTTATTTCCCACGCCCCCGTTTCGAGATAAACGCGTTTAAAGATAAAATTCGCTGAGAGAGCAATACATGTCGGTACATGTTTTAGGAAATCGCTTCGTAAAGCGGTAAGGAATATTCTGGTGGACTTGGAATCTTTTCTAAATTAAAGTATACATCCCAAGGAACATTTTAAGCCAAAAAAAAATGCATTTTTTTGAAAAATCAAAGTGTACTCCCCCCTTAAATGTTCATACCGTCTCAGGGGTAATTCTCGTTCGATTTGTATTAAAATCCACACATTGCTCAGTTATTCCCATATCTGTGATTTCGATTGGTAAACCATGCAGCTTTTAGAAATCCATTCGACTGCTGTGTAAAAATAACTTTTAATACTAAAATCATCAACAGAATAGAAATACGGATTGGTTAACAATCTGCAACAAATCAATTCACTGAATTGGAACAAATTACTTCACTTGATCTGAACTTAATCAATCCGTTTAATGTCATCATTTAAACACTTAAAATGCCTCCACCCTTCGGAAGCGTGGAACCAGATTGCCATCAAACCATGTGGCGTCAGTTTACTGCACCGTGGAGCATGACAACAGCATTCGTACGCCAGAGAGTAGGGTGGAGCACTACTTCGTAATACGGGACTCATTTTCGTCATGCACCTCAATGTTGGATTACCGCTTTAAGGCAGGTTTGCTGAAACGGAGTGGAGTACGACGGAGTAGTGCCGCACCCTAGCTGCATTTTTAATGTCACAATTTAATTCAATCGATCCTCCAACACGGCAACCTCATTGTGAAAGGTACCTACAGTTGGGAAAAGGAACGAGCATAAAAGAAAGAAAACCATTTCACCAGCCCAGCATCCCAGATCCGGACCGATATGCGACCAAAGTGGATTGAACATAATCGCCTTTTTGCTCTTCCTGTGTGTGTCAATACTCGTTACTCACGATGATGTTCTTCGAGTCTTACACTTTTGGTTGTTCGGTTAGGTTTGGAGATCATCAGTGTCGTCGTGCCGGTTTGCCACGGCCAGAGGTCTCCGGAAAGGATCAGTTAAGACCATCGTCGTCTGTCTCGTCGTGGCTGCCCGTGTAGGCGCCGGAAGGGTACGCGCTGGCATCAGAATTTGCAGAGAAAAGTGATGCAACGACCGTAACGAGAAGATAAACATTCGTATGTACACGAAAGCATCGTGTGCCGTTCGCCGGGTTGGTGGTTGTCCCGAAGGGAGGTAACGAGTGTCTCGTTTCTCGGTTCTTCAATCAATTTAATTGATCTCTCACTTAGTCACGAAAATGTCTCCAGGACGATTGCATGGGGATGGTGTGCGTCGGCAAACAAGGGGAAGCGTGACTGAAGGATGAGAAGATTTAAGGGCAAGAGCATGAAAAAAGTGCGGTTGCATTTAAAGTGCATATGTAGATCATGTCAGCTGCCCGTACGATTGTTAGTCAAATGTTATAAGACTGAAACCCATCTGCGAGAGAACATTGATTGTTTCATGTAAATATATTCGGGCAGCTTCACAGTATAGGCAGATGTAAAGCTTATCATGATTGAGTTTTCGGGATTCATTTAATTTTCTTCAAGTTCGTTAACATTATCCACTGTTACCAGTAATGTGATATCTGTCCCTTGCATTTATGTTAATTAATTATAAGTAAATTAAATTTAACGTTTGACCATCTACTAACAATACGATGAAATCTTAGAGAGCTTATACGTAAATTATCGATAAAGGGCAAAATGAGTACGATTGTTATCACACGCTTCGTGAAGTGAACCAAGCTTTTTGTTTTTTGCTAGTTTTGAATTTAAAGACAGCTAAGTGGTTGCATACCTTCCGCTAAGTGAGGCGTGACCAATTGCTACTAATGTCTGATGGTCAGTGCCTAATTAAATTGATCAATAATTCACTATTGGCATGTCTAGCAAAACAAAAAAAGAGGGTACACGAATTAGAAAAAGAGTGCACCGTGGGAAACCTTGATTCGGAAGGCTTTATGCAATTTCCAATCGGAGCTAGAATGGGAAATTGTTTAAATTATTGCTATAAATATCCAATCGTTCGGTAGCAACGGTATCAGTTTAGTGAGTTCAGTTCTTGGTAGAACAGTTAATCAGTTTCCAAAGTGCAGCAAAATGATCAAGACTTCTGTGGTAGCTATTGCCCTGCTAGGTGCAGCTGCTTTGGCCTACGAACATCATGGATTTGTTAGTGAAGTGAAGCATATTCCATACAAGTGGTACGGTGGTATGCAAGGAGGAATCGGTGGCGGCATGGAAGGCGGCATGGGAATGAGCGGTGGAATGGGAGGCTCCATGGGTGGTGGCATGGTGAGTTAAGTGTGTATTGAACTAGTCTTTTGAAATCTAATAAATGCTTCACCGTAATAGCAGGAAGGAAGTTGGAAGGAAGGCGGTGAAGACTACTACTCGTATCCGAAGTACAAATTCGAATATGGAGTGAAGGACATTAAGACCGGGGATCACAAGAGCCAATGGGAGATGCGTGATGGAGATGTTGTCAAGGGAGAGTACACCATGGATGAAGCGGATGGAACCAAGCGTATCGTGGAATACTACGCCGATGGTAAGAACGGTTTCGAAGCCAAGGTGAAGAATATTGGACAAGGCATCCAGGAAGGAGGAATGGGTGGACAGCAGATGGGAGGATTCGAAGGAGGCTACCATGGAGTTGGATATAGCTACAGCAAGTTGAAGAAGTACAACTAAGGTATCATGACTGATGAAGCAAGACTGGAATTCGTTGTTTAATAAACTATGGCACAATTAACGAAAGCATAAAACGAAAACTCTTTTTTACTACAAAAGCACGAATCAATGGACGCAGTTGTTTCAAACCCCTCGAATAAAAAAAAAAAGCTGTAACAATGTTATATATGTACACTTACAGTTCAATTACATCACCTTAAGTTTTTAAGATTTCCTTGCGCCACGCACCTCAAGAATTCAAGAATATTGTTCTGCCAAATTTGCCTTGAATTTTTTCAATCCCCATGTGAGTTTTGAGTAAAACAAATTAAAGCAAGGTGTTGCACAAACTGGTACCTTACACTTTGAACCTTTGATTTTAATAGTTAAAATAGCTCTAACTTATTACTAACTCAACAAAATAATCGCAGTAGCTATACGAGAACCGATAAATGTTCAACATATAATTCTTTTTTTAAATTATGTAAGTACAGCTGTTTTTCTAAAATGTATGGACAGAGGTTTGCTCATGTTGAGATGCACTGTATATAGCGCAATGGAAAACCATCCGTGTGATAAGGAGAACAAGGGGGACTTTTTATTTTTATTTTTTAAATGTTTGCTGAGTACAGTCAGGAATCCTTATTGCCGGTATCCCTTATTGCCGGATCCTTATTGCCGAGCTATCCGCGAATAAGGATACCTACAGCGTATGGGATTTTCACTAATGGGGGTTGTGGTGGGTTATCTCATTTGTTTCAAAATATAGAGCTATACTGTCTTAGACAAAGTTTTTGTACTGGGATAGAACAGTAAGCCTGTTCCATTGGATTCAGGTTTAATTGGAAACTACGCCGCTAGCGGCGCTTCACTTTTATGTTACTTGTGATGGGCGCAATAATATATGGATCTTTGGTCCAACATAGAATATTTTGTGATCCTGGTCATATAGAAAGTTACTGTCTTCAGCAAAGTTATTCAAGTGACCAAGTCTTTTCGGATGCTTGTCATATTAGTTCAGAACTTTCTCACTACACAGCGCTAGTGTGCACATGAGCTTTGTAAATAAGCTGTATCTCAAAATCCTGGCCATATAGAAAGTTGCTGTCTTCAGCAAAGTTGTTCAAGTAACCAAGTCATTTCGGATGGTAGTCATATTATTTAAGAACTCTCTCACTATGCAGTGCTAGTGTGCACATGAACTTCTTTAATATGTTATGTGTGGAAAGCTTGTCCATATAAGATGTTGCTGTGCAATGTGAGGAGACGAAACGGAATAGGGATGTCGTGTAGAGAGACTGGAAATCGATTTCGGACATCATTTTAAAATCCAATAATGCGGCCATCATTTCAAGAAAAACTGTCGAATATACTCTACATTCGTTCAACGGTCTGGAAGAAACTATCATTCGTTTCCTTTCACTAGAGAGAACGGTCAGCCACAATGGTAAAATGATGAACTATTTAAAAAAATTCTACCATAACTAACATCCTCTTTTCGAAAACATAGGTTCTGTTTTTGGAACGCAATCATCACCTAGTCCATCCGCAATTGGTGAACGCCAAGCGGACCATTGCGTCGGTGATCCTATCGAGGAACCGAGGGTCACGGAAGATCAGCCAACGAATGATAGTGTAACCCGTGAGGATGGAAGAGGTCAGCCAGCTACGAGTGGCCGTGGTCGAGCGACCAAACGAAATTATAGAAAAGCAGACCGACGATCTGAGCAAGATGAAGCTACATGTATCGGATTGCGCTCGCTTATAAATGAAGCGTTTTCAGCTTGACGGTTAGAAATTCAACTTCAACAAGCAAATGCTGCTCGAAAAGCAGAAGCACAAAAGTCAGCAGCTACAATATCAGTTGCAGCTGCTTAAATATAAGAAGCAGAAACTCGATTTTGAGATGGGACGGAAAACAACTGGCAGTACTAATGCTGAAGATGAACACGAAAAGGCGGAACGGGACGATAGTGACGATGAGTAATTAATCACTATCACTGTTTTTATTTTACTTTCCTAAATAATGTCTTTACTCGATAAATAATCTTCAATATTATAGCGTCGTTGTTTTGAAGACATACAAGTTTCCAATGAATGCTAGTCTTTTAAGTAAGTTGGAATCCATTTCTCATTGTTCAAAATATACATTTATTTATTACTACATCATATCATACCGCTTGAAAATCCAACTTTTTGGAGTTTTTTATGGACCGTAGACAATCGCCAAACCACAGACAAACAGACATAACACTCGCAAGTTGTTCATCGAACAAGCATTTAACGGTCAATTTAAAAGTATCGTAGTTGGTAGTATCGCCACCTGTGGCGCACATAGTTAATTCCCTTGCATTTGACGTTTACACACTACCGCCATCTGTTCAGCGTACTACCCACCACAGTGTATTCAACAGATGGCGGTAATGTTTTTGCGACGATGTTTTACAGCGAGAAATATTCAATGTGTTATGTCTGTTTGTCTGTGGTTTTTGGAGGCGAACCAGCCCAAGGCTGAAAGCCTCTTTAATAAAGCTAAATAATAATAATAATAATAATTTGTCTGTGGCCAAACCTTAAGTGCCTATGTAATTTATAAACAGCTCCTCTGTGTAACGAATATGTCTAACTGGTAAAATGAGTCATGTTTCTCGGCAACCACTGAGTTGAATTGGATGCAACAACCACCAAATGAAATGTATCATCGTAGAACGTAAAATTTTATGAGAAGTTGCTGAATTTAATTTCTGTCTCACTGCGCATTGGTGGATAAATTCAAGTTTTTTTTTACTATGATACATAAAACAACATGGCCATTTACAAAATATTGTTCATGATTTCTTCTCTGATTCTAATTGCAACATTTTGATTCCTGTCAACACCACGCAACTCTGCCTCCTCTTCTCCATCTGGTAGTTCTGGCTCATCGTAATCCATTTTATGCTTGACGCGTAAATTATGTAGGGCAACACAAACGTTTATAATCTGCGTAGCTTTTTCAGGCTTATAATACAGCTGTCTTGCTCCTAATAAGCATCGGAAGGTATTCATGGCCACTCCAATTGTTCTTTCCACCGTGATTCGAGTTTTGGAATGTATTTCGTTGAACCTGGTCTGCCGTTCAGTGCGAAACGGAGTGATGAGAAATGGTGTCAAAGGGTAACCAGCATCACCTGTAATGATAATAAAATAAGCTCCAGAATCTTTAAAATGAATCAAAATTGCACCATAGAAACATAGTCAAGATTCCAACAGCAAGGAGTCGTACCATAGAGGTAACTCTAAGACCAGAAGGTCCCGAAGAAACGTGCTCAACTTTTTCGCTCAGCTCTTGTACTCTCTTCGGTCCCAAGCTAATCGATGCACCTCTCGAAACATGGGAAAATCCACGAACCCCTCATTTTATCTGTCAAACTTTCATAGCGAATCAAAACAAACATTGTGTAGTACTAGAATTTTGACTAGAATGGGGTACGTTAATCGTTCGCTTGGGACCAATAGAGTCAAGTAGTGATCCAATTTAAAATCGTTAGTTTCCACCGGTTGATTGCACTCCTTTGGTCTAGTACGTGAATTGTGGTACTAGATTAAATGAATACAGCGGCACTACATTCATGTCTGCTGATGGTAAGACGCACGTGCAAAACAATACAACCAACAATCAATACGAAACTATCGATTTGAAATTGGCTCACTACTTGACTAGCCATTGGTCCCAAGCAAACGATTAACATATCCCATTTTAGTCGTAATTCTAGTACAACAATATGTTTGTTTTGATTATCTGTGAAAGTTAGACGGATAAAATGAGGGGTTCGTGGATTTTCCCATGTTTCGAGGGGTGCATCGATTAGCTTGGGACCGAAGATAGTACCAGAGCTGAGCCAAAAGGTTGAGCACGTTTCTTCGGGACCTACTAGTCTTAGAGTTACCTCTATGATACAACTCTGGACATTATAGATTCAATTGGCTGAGGTCCAGAAAACTTTAGAGATTTCCTTATTTTCCATGCGTGTAACATAAATTTAAAACTGTTGAAATCATGAAACAGTACGTTGAAGACAAAACAGAAAATTTTGATATATTTTCCACTAAGAAGAAGGAATCTTGACAGTATTTCAATACGCTCTATAACTCTTTTCTTACCGAGTAACCAGGAGTTCCTCTCCCTATTGTTGAACCTTTGTAAAAGCAACTGACTCAGCGAACTGCCATTCCATACAAAAGAGTCATGGGAGGAGCCCGGGTGGTCAAGTTATGATCACAAACCTGTAAATTGTCAAATATTTGCATGAGTAAAATTAATGAGATCTAAACCTTGTTTCTACTTTACCAGAATGTTTCAGAATGTAAAAGCCTTTACGGTTGTAAAACAGGTGTTTATCGCGAGCCGGAGGGATGATGCTTACGTGGGTTCCATCTACGCATCCGATTACTCCTGGAAATCCAGTTTTCTCGTAGAAACCCAGTGTAATCGCATTTGTTTCTTTTTCTTCGAATGGAAACTGAATTACAGCTGGGCACACTTCGGTTTCAATAATGTCCAACACAAGTTGCAGCACTTTAGACACCGTTGGTTGTGCCAATCCGATAAATCTATCGTTACCTACGCCCTTCTGGTAGTTGCCTTCTTCAAAAACCTCAACGAAGCTGCCAGCATGATCATTGGAGGCACTGACGTGGACAGTTGTACTGGATTGATTTTTGCATCGATTATCTCCAGTAGGTATTTGAAAATCTCCTTGGATACTCTGAAGAATTGAATGAAACTGGAAAACGTATGTGAAGTATGTAAGTTTCGAAATACACGTTCAAATTTAAGCTGTTTCCATATACTTACGATTTTTCGGTTTGATCCAACGGATTACAATTATCCCTTATCCGCCTTCGATCTACAGCAAGATTGGAATATTTCTCCTCGTCTTCACTGTCGGTATCAAACCATAATTCCACACTCATTTTCAAAAAGAAAAAAAAAACTTTACTTACAAGGAAATTTCCGTCGATTTTCAAAACAAAGCACG